TCAGTTTTTTAAATGATGTTCTATGCAAGTCTTTAATTAAAAGCCATTTGAATCTTGTTTTTCCTTTGCTGCTGAAACACAGATGATTCACAAGCTGACAGCGCGCGCTCTCATCAGAGATTATGAAGATGGCATTCTTCACGAAAATGAAACTGGCCATGAGGTTCGTTCTTTCCTCAGTAAAAACCGTTACGCATTATTCTTGAGCATTCTTAAATTGATTAATCTACGGAAATGTAAAGTGTTATGGCTGGATGAATGTCAGGGCATTCATCACTGGTGTCTGTGCCATCTGTGCCTGGGACGTGGGGTGCACAATAGATGTTTGTTGAATGAATTAACAAAAGAAGGGGTGTCAGCCATTTCCTGAGAATTCTGTGATATTTTGCCCATCAGAAAGAGGCCATCATCTCAGATCTCACACGCTGTAGCCTTAGTATTCCCATCTTACTGACGCGAAGCCCATGTGCAGGGTGGGGACACACGGCAGAGCCAAAGCCCGCCTGATCCTCTCCTAGGGAAGGTCCTGGCAGAGGGTCCCACTCAGCCAGCCCACCAGGACCGTCCAGCTGGTCTCCCAGGGACTGTGGTCTTAATGAGCTCGAGAGTGTTGGTCCTCAGTGCCATCTCCAGAAGAAGGCGCCAGCGTGCCACACAGGGCCCAGATACCCTTGCAGACACATTGGTGACAGACAGCCTGGTGCTTTCACTGTTCTCCTCGAGGGCCCTTGGATTAGCAGCCTTTGTGTTCCGTTTTGCTGAGGCCCATTTACACTGACAAGTCACTGGTCTCTCCAGTCCCTCAGCTGTAAAACGGGAGCCACGGACTGTAAAAGAGTGAGGGAGCGCACCACATGCGAGAGCACTTTGGGAGCTACAGAGAGCTGGATAATTAGGAATTACTTTCTTTTAATGACTTAGCCGAGTCAATTAATTGATCCCATTTTGCAGGGAACGTTTAAGTCACCTCCTTAAGATATTTAGATAAGACCTTTGACTCAATATTTATTTTGAAATACTAATTATAAAATGACTTAGTATCGTAGAAAAATAGCTTTTTAGATGATTGAATACTCCCTTAATTGGTCACACATAGCTAAATAGAAATAAATAGGCCGGGTGCGGTGGCTCACGCCTGTAATCCTAGCTCTCTGGGAGGCCGAGGCGGGCGGATTGTTTGAGCTCAGGAGTTCGAAAGCAGCCTGAGCAAGAGCAAGACCCCGTCTCTACTAAAAATAGAAAGAAATTAATCGGACAACTAAAAATATATAGAAAAAACTAGCCGGGCATGGTGGCGCATGCCTGTAGTCCCAACTACTTGGAGGCTGAGGCAGAAGGATCGCTTGAGCCCAGGAGTTGGAGGTTGCTGTGAGCTAGGCTGACACCACCGCAGGCACTCTAGCCCGGGCAACACAGTGAGACTCTGTCTCAAAAAAAAAAAAAAGAAAGAAATAGAACAGGACATGATTTCATTTGCTTTATTCTATCCTAGATGAAGAAACAAATCTTGAAATCTGTGATTATTAAACTCAGTAAAGAAAACTCTCTCGTAACACAATTCACGAGCTTTGTGGCAGTTGAGAAAAGGGTATGTATTGTTTTAATTCTTGGTTAAATTATTTTCTTTATATTTCCACCTTAAGAAAGTCACTCTTGCTCTGATGGTTAATGACAAGGCCCATGCCCTGGGCCGTGAAGTGGCCCCCTGGGCCAGGGCCTCCCATCCACCGAGGGCCTAGGCTTTGGGACTTAAGGTGATCTTTCTAAATGAATTGCACGTTATTTTTAATGTCGTAATTATTCATTAGCTACATGTGTATTTTAAGATACACTACAATTTTGTTACATCTTTGGCATTTCTCATCTTTCATTAATCCAAGACCGTCAAAAAGAAAATAGAAAAGGCCTGGGTTTCCCTTACTCTTGGAGAGGCCCTTTCCCCTTCATAAGTTTGGGGAGAAAATCCATGTAAAGCACTTAACGCGGAGCCCAGCACAGCGCGCGCTCCTTGAAAAGGAAGCCGCTCACCCAGCACGCGCCCTTCTCCCCCCGCCCTCCATGTGGCCTGGGCAGGATCCGGCCTTACAGGCAGACACATCCCAAACCAGCACCCGCAGTCTTTAGCATGTGCCATGATCACTGAATTGGATGACATCTGTTTTAATTTAATCTTATTGTGATTCAATATAGGATGAGAGTGAGCCTCCTTTTCCTAATGTGCCCAAAGTCTCCGAACTTATTGCCAAAGAAGACGTAGACCTTCTGCCGTACATGACTTGGCAGGAGGAGCGACAAGATGCCAGCGTGATGCAGGTAAATGCTGATCACCAAACAAATCCATACTGTGCTTTCATCTTTTCACGACGATGAGGGCAACCCTTTGCTAAAATAGCTCCCTTATTACCTGTACGTGCAGAAAGTGTCGTCTCCCTGATGGGGGAAAATACTCACCCATTCATAAAGATGCCGTTGCGTTACCGAAACAGCCGTATATAATGTGAACGTAGCTGCGAAGTACGAAGAGAACACCTGTGGCTGTGCTTTGTTCGTGGACAGACTGTCATACAGGAAGTGAAAGTCATGTAGGGAATGTAATATGTTTATCATGGAACTAATATGAAAAGTCCTACCTAATAATCTAAATTTACCATCAGTGTTTCTTAAAGTCGATAATGCTTTATGCTGTGGCCCTTGTAACCAGAAACATAATAGCAATTGAGTAATGTGGCTTAAATAAAAATTGGAAAGCATGTTCAAAAGCAAAAGAACAGAACAGTACTGATAAGACTCTTAAGGTCTCCAGGTTAGAGAAGTAAAGTTTCCAAAATTTAAGAATTTAAATCTCTCAAAACGTCCTTTTAGGAAAAAAAAAGAAAAAATAATAATAAAGAAAAAATTTTAAAAAAGAATTTAGAATCTAAGAAAAAAATACATGGAGAGAGAAATTTTGAGAAAATAAAATGTATACAACAGTCATTTTCTTTGATCCATTTAAGAGTGACTTTGTTAGTAAAGAATATAAAAAAGTACAGTAGACATCATTTGCTTTGCTCATAAAATCATGTTTTTTTGTTTGTTTGTTTGTTTTTTTCGAGACAGAGTCTCACTGTGTTGCCCGGGATAGAGTGCCGTGGCGTCAGCCTAGCTCACAGCAACCTCAAACTCCTGGGCTCAAGCGATCCTCCTGCCTCAGCCTCCCGAGTAGCTGGGACTACAGGAATGCGCCACCATGCCCGGCTAATTTTTTCTATGTATTTTTAGTTGTCCAATTAATTTCTTTCTATGTTTAGTAGAGACGGGGTCTCGCTCTTGCTCATGTTGGTTTCGAACTCCTGAGCTCAAACAATCCGCCCACCTTGGCCTCCCAGAGTGCTAGGATTACAGGTGTGAGCCACCGCGCCGGCCATAAAATCATGTTTGATGTGTTTTGGGTTGGTAAATAACAAGAGAGAGAGAAAAAAAAAGAGAAACTATGTTTTCTCAACCCTTTGTGCAGTATTTTTGTTTTATTTTATAGCTGTCTTTAAAGAAAGGGGGGAAGATAATAATTCCAGAACACGGTGCTTCCCCTCCCGTCTAGGCACACTCCCAGGTCACGCCCTCCCACGGATAGAAGGGAAGCTGTGGCCCCCACAGAATACAGTGAGCGAAGGCACAGAGGAACCAAAACTATGTTGAAAAACTATCATCCAGGAGGTCTTTGAATGGTGTTTCCAAAAATTGAAAGAGGTTTAGACATACGAGAAATGCAATCCAAAGACAATGATGAACTGGGAAAAAAATATTGCAACAGGAACAGATTAATTTTCTTAATACATAAAGAACTCCCAAGAATTGTTAAGAAAAAGACCAGTAATCCAACAGATAAACAGGCCAAGGGTTTGATCATAAATAAGGAAGTAATAGGGCTCTCAAACATGAAAAGATGTATGTTCAACCTCATTGTTGCTAAGAGAAATTAAAATTAAAACGGCCATCAGATTCCATTTTTTAATCAGGTTGGCAAAGATCTAAAAAGGTAGATAATTGAAGATCAGTAAAAATAGTGGTGAAGACACAGTCAGTGTGGCAGGACTGATTGGGTCCGAATCCCAGCCCCGCGGCACTCCCTGTGGCCTGAACTTCCCGGTGCTCTTGCTCCTGCCACCCTAAAATGGAGAGTAATAAGTGGCCCACGGTGGCTGTGAAGAATGAAGGAACGGATGCACCTAAGACTGTCATGGCAGGTATCGGGTAAGCGTTAGCTGTTGTTATCAGCCCTGGTGTCCGAAACAGGCTCTGTCACCAAGCTGATGGGGCAGCTCAGTCGGGAGGGCCTCTGCACAGGGCAGTGTGGCAGCCTCTGCGCGGCTGTTGGCAAGAGTGAGGCTGCTGTGCGTGTATGGCATGGAGGCTCCCCAGGGTGTATTAAGCAAGGTAGAAAGCGGTGAGAATAACATATCGTTATTTGTGTTTTTTAAAAAGGGAGAATGTAAATTTATTTATTTCCCTGTTTTTAAATGTCTGTTTACACTCTCCAGGGGGCTGAGGGAGGCACTGAAACTGGGAACAGGGCTTGTCTGGGGGGGATGCTGGCTGGGTTACAGTGTACCCTTTTATACCCTTTTGCATATTTTGAATTTTGCACCACGGCATGGATTGCCCATTCAAAACTTTAAGAAAACACAAAGAGTTTGGGGAGTCCGGCAGAGTAGGCAGCGAGTGCAGCCAGACGCGGTCGCCCTGCAGTCTCCCCCAGGGGCGCACAGGTGGTGACGGTGCAGTGGTCCCGCTGCCAGCCAGGACTCCAGAGTGGCTAAAGGAAGTGAGGACAGAGCTGAGGCGGTGACTCTCACCGCAGCTCCGCAGGGGGCCATCTGAGGGCCGTGTTTTGAAGAAAAAGAAAACCTCTGATGGAAAACTGAGAATCAACTGTTTATCCTTGAAACTAGCGAGCCTTATTGTTAAAATGGGCCCTCGAAAATACAGATCTATTTATCTTCCATATGTGTCAAAAACGCACACCCAGCAGTTCTGAAAATGGACAGTGGTGATGGCTGCACGACGGTGTGAGCGTGCTTAATGTCACTCAACTGCAGAAATGGTTAAAATGGTAAATTTTATCATATATATTTTACCACAATGAAAAAGTTAAGAAAACAAAATGCGCGCGTGCGCGCACACCCCATACATATATACTTATACAAACTCACAGAAAAGTTCTGGAAGGACATATGCCAAACAGAGATCAGATATGGGATTCTGTGTGGCTTTTATTTTCTTTTTTGTGTCTACCTGTATTTTCTAATTTTCTCACGGTGTACATATATCGTTTATAGACGTTTTTGAAGTTGTTAAAATTGATTCTAAATTCATTTGGGTTTGACTATATTGTGATAATAAATTATTGCATACTAATTTTGCAAATACCTTGGATCTTAATACTTACAGATCCAGACATATCTGATGAAAAATGTTATCAATTAACTTGATGACTTGAAAGTTTATTTTAGCTACGGTAATTTTTCTGAACGAACCATCTCATTTAGCAAAAGTAGTAAAGCTCCTGTCAGGCTCCCTCGGGATCTGTCTTACCAGTGTTCCCCAGGAGGTGCTGTATGTCAGTGGGATTCAGCGACAGGGGCAAGAGGCCGTGGAAAGAGCCCTGGAGACCCGGGTCTGCTCGGCCTGCCGGGCTCACTGAGGCTTGAGGAGTTTTCTTATTTACAGTGTCCTGTTGTTCAGCGAGGCCCTCCGGGTGCAACACCCTGGCTCCTTGGCGACTTTCACTGGGGTGGGATCGGGCTCGGGAGCAGCAGCCCTGAGTGCCCTGCGTCCCCCCCACTCATGAAGCCACCTCGGGAACAAGTGAGGGGCAGAGATTTGATAAAAGTAACTTCCGATTTACATTTTTCAAGCAAACTATTTGAAAAATGCAGTGCTGTGACTGTTGTTAGCAACAAACAGAGTGCAGGGACGCGCTGGTCCTCAGCAGACGGTCAAGGTGCGGGTGCACAAAAGGAAAGACTGGCCTGGAAGGCAAAGAGGAAGAAAGGGAGTGATTCTGGTAAATAGAAGAATCATGCTGAGAAATACGAGCTCATTTTTTGTTTATTTAATAAAGTTGGTTTTTGGATGGTCAGCATGGTTTCAAATCCCACAGGACAACAGGGGAGACAGAGAGTCCTGGGCCTGACCCAGTGCCCCGTCACCCCCCCCACCCCGGGGCCTGTCACGAGGGGTGCCTTACGCTGTCTTTCCAGAGACGGCACACGCAGGCGTGAGCTCGCTGCGTCGCTCCATCGCAGCAGGTGTTAGTACTACGCACCGTGCGGTACCTTGTTCTTTATCTGTACGTTGGAGATACACATATCGTACACAACGTACATATCTGTACGTTGGAGATACAGAACAGCTGCGTTATCTTTATGGCTGAATGGCATGACATCATATGCATGTGCTGGAACTTTCTTAGCCGGGTCTTTTATGGACGGACAATCCGGTTTGTTTCCTGTCTATAACAAACAGCGCTACTGTGAATAACCTGCACGTTGTTTCTCTATGTGTTGTAGTATGTCTGTGGGGTATATTTGTAGTAGCCTGAAGCTGTAAACAACCATCCGCAGGTGAGTGAATAAACAAACTGTGATACAGCCATATGATGAAATACTACTCAGCCGTAAAAAAGGAGTTAGCTGTTGATACATGCATGCGGCATGGACGCATGTCAGGACAATTATGCTGAGTAAAAGATGTCAAACAAAGAGTACATACTATATGACTCCATTGATATGAAATGTATACAAAACAGTCTATAGCTGGGGTCCCCAACTACTGGGCCGAGGACCAGTACTGGTACCGTGGCCTATTAGGGACCGGGCCACAGAGCGTCCTGCCTCCCTTCCCTGCCCGCCCCCGTCTGTGGAAAAATTGTCTTCCACGAAACCAGTCCCTGGTGCCAAAAAGGTTGGGGACCACTGAGCTACATAGTTACTGAAAGCAAGTCACAGTGCCTGGGAACAGTGTGGGGGGGCATGAGGTGTGTTACAGAAGAACACAAGGAATATTTTCGGAGCAATAGATACATTAACTCTCCCAATTGTGATAATGGTTTTGCGGATGTATACTTATGTCAGAACTCATCAAATTGTATACTTTAAATATGCAGTATATTGTATATCAATTATACCTAAATAAATCTGTTTTGAAAATTTTAATTAGCTCTAACCAAATTGCCCTCTATCTAGGGTATATCAGTTCCACCCCCGTCAGCAGCACAGGAGAGAGGCTGTTACTTGTCCCTCTTTAACCCAGTGTGTTATTCAAATTTTTGATCTTTGCAAATCTGATAAATGAAAAATATATCAGTGACATTTTAATTTTCACTTTATGATTGAAGAGGAGCATGTTTTATATTCTTAAGGGCCGTATGTATCTCTTTTTCTTTGTGTTATCTATTCATGTCTTTTACGTTTTTCTAATTGAGGTGTTATAGTTGTTGTCTTATTTACTTTCGGAAGATTTTAGATGTTAGGGAAATTAGTCCTGTGTGATAGGAGTTGTGAGAATTTGTTTCCCAGTTTGCCATTTGTATTTTGATGTTGCTTATTATCCTTTTGTCATGCAGATTTTTTAATGCAGTCAAACCTTTAATCTTTGGGTTTCTTCTTTTTGTTTTGTGTTGTGTTGTTTTTCATCATGCCTAGAAGTACCTTTCCTGTTTGCAGATTATACTTTAAAATTTTTCCCCCTTATTTTTTTAGTTTTATGTTTTCATGTTTACATCAGTTTTTCATCCAACTGGAATTCATCCTGGTAAAGATAAGAAGTATGGGACAAACTTCATTCTTTTCCAGGTGCCTACTCGCTTTTCTCAGCATCATTTATTGAATACTTCTTTTCCTCCCACTAACTCAACATTCAACCTTTGTTCTCTACTAAATTCCCACATTGTAGGAGCTATTGCTGGACTATCTACTGTTCCATTGATCCATCTGTTATAATTTTATAAAAGGCTTTAATATTTGATAAGTCTAGTTCATCACTATTGGTCTTTTTCAGTTCGCTTGTCTAATTAAAAATAATTTATCCAGATAAGCATTATTTTTAAATATTATTTTGAAATGTGTTTTGTCTTATGTTCTGTAATATTAATTATTCAAGGGCATACTTGAAATTTGACTACTGCTTTTTTTAAAGGACTACTCCTATTTTAAAATAACTCATGTACATGGGTAATGATTCCAAAATATCTTGAGGATTTATCCATATAAAACTGGATTTGGGGGCCGGGCGCGGTGGCTCACGCCTGTAATCCTAGCACTCTGGGAGGCCGAGGTGGGAGGATCGCTTGAGCCCAGGAGTTTGAGGTTGCTGTGAGCTAGGCTGACGCCACGGCACTCTAGCCGGGGCAACACAGTGAGACTCTTGTCTCAAAAATAAAATAAAATAAAATAAAACTGGATTTGGTTTACATGCAGCTTTTTAAGGAACATTCCTTACATTTAGATTCAAATACTAGTATTAACACAGCACTCCTCATTCCCTTTTATTTTACATATTGTTCATATTGCGGTGAAAAGATACATTCATTTAGTTCACAACTTTCACAAATCTTTTTCAATTTTCTCATTTTCTTAATATTGCCGGAAAGCAATATAAGAGACTAGAATAATTTAAATTAGTAGCTTAGTGTAGGGCTAATTTACATCCCATGATACTGCTCATTGCAAAGTCTTGGGCAGCTCAGTTCTGTGGCCCTCAGTTTCCGCAGGTGTTTAAAATTCCATGATTCCGGCAACAAACAGAGAAAGCTCTTACACCGTGTCGATCGCTGGTGTTCTCTCCAGGGTCCGCTTCCACGTCTACAGAAGAGGGCCTCGTGCTCACGTGACCGCGGGCGTCTCTGGTGTGGCGGGGGAGGCCGCGGGCGCTGGCGGTCCTGGCGCGGGGACGCGCGGTGGCGCGGCTGTGGGGAGAACGTTCGCTTCACTGCGCCTTTCCCTCCGTTTTCCCCTCACAGTAATAGTTTCCTCTTCTGCGCAGCCTCTTCCGGCATCCTCCGAACGGGACGAAGAACTGCGTTTGGCCGAGTATACGCGCGCGGCGAAAAAAAAAGCGCGTAAGAAGAAAGTATCCCGAGCCCCTGAAGGGGCGAGCTTAGCGCCGGGACCGGCAGCACGAGGCCCCGCGCCCGGTCCCGCGTGTGAAGGCGCCGCAGGGCCCTCGGGGTCCGGGCTTTTCTCGCGGGAACCAGCAGGCGTTCGCCCGCTAGCCAGCCGCGCCCTTTACGGAGAGGTGCCTGCGTCCAGCTTCGCTCCTGCTCCGGCCGCCGCGGGTCCGCCTCTCCTGGGTCGGCCTCTCCTGGCCCACCGCGCTCCTCCCGCCGCCGGCCTCCGCGCCTTCTCCTTCGGCTTCCGTCGGGGCGCTCTGTTTGGTTCTCTTTCTTGCCCCAAGCCCTTCGGCCCATCTCAGCGCGGCTCTGCTGACGCCGACTC